TTTATAAATTTTTTTTTTTTTTTTAATTTATTTTTTTGTTTTTTTTTTTTTTTTAATTTTTGTTTTTTTTTTTTTTTTTTTTTTTTTTGAGTTTTGAGAAAAATGGGGCTCAATCAGATGCTAGTGCCCGTTGTAAGTGAGCGTCGTAGCAAAAAAAAATTCGAAATTACCTTTAAAATATTGTGAAGACGGGCCACTATTTATTCAATTGTGTTTGTTTAAAACATCCAAATTATTCTAAAGTGAATAACTAACTGAAATAATTAGTCGAGATTGATCAAAGTGAGTTATTGAGCTTGTTTGCTATGTAACTTAGCTGACTTTCATGTCAAACATGTGGCGGTCGATATCAGGGTCACAGACAAGTAGGGTTTTTCTTTACAAGTCAGAGCTCTGAGGTCAACTAGTGCTCACCAGCCTATGCTTGGGTAAAATCCCAGCACGAACCATATTACGTCTAACCTCTGCAAGGTGTTGTAGCGCTAGACAATTGTGGTGCAACTCCCAACTATCCCCCACGTGGCAACATCTAATGGTGATGTCATCACCTCACGCACAATCACTGCAGTCGCCGCCATTCAATCTTCTCTTCATCTTGACCGTTGATTAAAAAAAAAATTGATATCGACGGCCATGATCCTCTGAAGACCACCCTCTAAATAGGAGACATTTCCTCATTTTCGCTTGAGCTTTTTCTTTTCGTTGCATTCGTAGAAACTTTGATATTCCTGTAGCGGCTAAGGATTTTAGATCTTCGAGTGTTCGAAGTCAGTCTCATGTCTTTCCATGCCTTCCTCTTCTCTTCTTCTCCCTTCTATTTTCCCTTTCTATTACTTGGTTTGATGCTAAGGGATAGTCAATGCGGCTCTTGATGCGACAAGAAGCACCAATTTAACTTAAGGGATGGTGATTTAGTAGCAGTAGGATGCAAAATGATTTTTCACTTATTCCATTAGGAAATATAGAATTTTTTTTTGGCACATCATATTGATGTATTTACGATTCTATAAGAGGAGGAAGGCGAGCTACAAGCGATATTCCCTCTGCTACCATAGGAGGTGAAGATGTGGGATTAGAGCTTTCATCCCGCTTTCCCTACTTCAATGGAAAGGGTTCCAAACCTTTTACAGAAAAAAGAGAACAAGCCTACAGAGAGCTTACCGTTTGTTTCGATTAGAGTCGCGAGACTTTGAAACTTTCAGGAAACCTTCCGTCATGCGAGTTGTTGCAAGTGTTATGTTACAAGTCTTTCA